AGTAACATTTGTCATAAGCATCCTATTGTGTTCTACATAAAGTCACAGCAGCAGACAGGGTCACCAGCGGCACCTACACCATCCCGCTGCAATCGTACCAATAGCGGGCACTAAGAAACAGTGTATAATCTGCTTTTGCCATCTAGTAAGAATTTAGCCATTCAGAACTGTATATTATACCTTTTTACAGCAGGACATCTGAAAGAAAGGCGAGAGAAAAACCAAAACAAGAGATAGAAAGATGTGTGGCTTGATCCCGCAAATAATAAATCCATTACTCAAACATTTTCAGTCGAGGAAGATAAATATAGCAGACCACGAAAGTGAGTCCTAAATGGATATCAGTGTGTCAAAGCAATGTTCCCTCGTTGTGAATTTGAACAACGAATTTATTTGCTTTATTTTAAGCAATTGTTACTGTAATATGCACCAGACGAAATATGACTGGTAAAAAATAGTGCAATCTGTTATTTGGATGTCAGTGTGCCGACAAAAGAAGAAGAAGACTTACAGACATCATCGAATGAAGAGCATCAATGGATTCGATGCCCATATCACATAAATGTCAAACTAAATGAGCCTGCGTTATGGTGGTCTGAATCACTAGTCCTCCAAGCACAACCAGCTGATCTGCCAAATGTGTTGTGACAGCTGACACAGATGCTAAGCACTCTACACTGAGACATGTGTCATTTAACAACACCTGAAGTAGTAAGAGTGATTATAGTCGGAAAAGACGCCGAAACGTGTACATATTTACAACCTAATTTTATTTGTAAACATCACAACTTGATGACAGAATGGAGTTGAGCGAAACTGCCAAAGTTACGAGAGATAAGGGTGAAAAAAAAAACAAAATTTTTTTTTTACTCCCCCAACATAATTATAAGGTTTACCTCCTTGCTAATCTTCGTGATATTTGCTTTTAGTGATGTTGACACCAATATTATTATAGCAGTCACTTACTTTCCAATTGTTTGCATTATAGTAAACTGCTGAGTCAGGATATTTAACATTTGTGGTCAGTTTTACAAACTTTACAGTTCATTGTTTGTTAGTGTTGGAAATGTGCGTGTTTATTTAACACAGTAATATAAGTGTGTGTATTGCGAATAAACGCGGATTTGTTTGTGTGCATGCGTGTTTGCGTGTGCTTGAGTGTACAAGATATTTATCACAGTTTGCAACCTTTCCATTGCATTTTTCGTCATCACTTTCACAACAGAAAACAGAAATGAAATCTAACTAAATTTGTTTTAACAAGTGTGTTTATTGATTGCAGTCACCGTCAACGATACCTTTCCAGCGTTTTGGCGATGGCGGATGTGCGGGTGTGTTTTATTGAATGCAGTCACATCAAGGATAACTTTCCAGCGTTTGGCGATGGCGGCTATGCAAGAGACAAACCTCACTCGACGAAGAGGTTCAGGTTCAGTCGATACTGTCTGAACTTCGCGCATGGAACCAAACGATTCGTTCTGGGGGAAAAAAAGGAAGCGATTTGTCAGATCTTGTTTATACACTTATTTTAGGACTAACACCGTGGCTACAGAAAGCATAGTAACGCAGTGGCTACAGAAAGCATAGTAACGCAGTGGCCAAAGAAAGCATAGTAACGCAGTGGCTACAGAAAGCATAGTAACGCAGTGGCTACAGAAAGCATAGTACGGCAGTGGCTACAGAAAGCATAGTAACGCAGTGGTTTCAGAAAGCATAGTAACGCAATGGCTACAGAAAGCATAGTAACGCAATGGCTACAGAAAGCATAGTAACGCAGTGGCTACAGAAAGCATAGTAACGCAGTGGCCAAAGAAAGCATAGTAACGCAGTGGCTACAGAAAGCATAGTAACGCAATGGCTACAGAAAGCACAGTACGGCAGTGGTTTCAGAAAGCATAGTAACGCAGTGGTTTCAGAAAGCATAGTAACGCAATGGCTACAGAAAGCATAGTAACGCAATGGCTACAGAAAGCATAGTAACGCAGTGGCTTCAGAAAGCATAGTAACGCAGTGGCTACAGAAAGCATAGTAAACGCAGTGGCTACAGAAAGCATAGTAACGCAGTGGCTACAGAAAGCATAGTAACGCAGTGGCTACAGAAAGCATAGTAACGCAGTGGCTACAGAAAGCATAGTAACGCAGTGGCTACAGAAAGCATAGTAACGCAGTGGCTACAGAAAGCATAGTAACGCAGTGGCTACAGAAAGCATAGTAACGCAGTGGCCAAAGAAAGCATAGTAACGCAGTGGCTACAGAAAGCATAGTAACGCAGTGGCTACAGAAAGCATAGTACGGCAGTGGCTACAGAAAGCATAGTAACGCAGTGGTTTCAGAAAGCATAGTAACGCAATGGCTACAGAAAGCATAGTAACGCAATGGCTACAGAAAGCATAGTAACGCAGTGGCTACAGAAAGCATAGTAACGCAGTGGCCAAAGAAAGCATAGTAACGCAGTGGCTACAGAAAGCATAGTAACGCAATGGCTACAGAAAGCACAGTACGGCAGTGGTTTCAGAAAGCATAGTAACGCAGTGGTTTCAGAAAGCATAGTAACGCAATGGCTACAGAAAGCATAGTAACGCAATGGCTACAGAAAGCATAGTAACGCAGTGGCTTCAGAAAGCATAGTAACGCAGTGGCTACAGAAAGCATAGTAACGCAGTGGCTACAGAAAGCATAGTAACGCAGTGGCTACAGAAAGCATAGTAACGCAGTGGCTACAGAAAGCATAGTAACGCAGTGGCTACAGAAAGCATAGTAACGCAGTGGCTACAGAAAGCATAGTAACGCAGTGGCTTCAGAAAGGATATTATTACAGTGGCTACATAAAGGATAGTACGCAGTGGCTACAGAAAGCATTCCAACGCCATGGCTACGTAAAGCATAGTAATGCAGTGTTTACGGTAGCATATTAAACCAGTGGTTACGGAAACAAAAGTATGAGCCTGAAAGCGTAGTTAACCAGTGGATTTATGCTTGCCTGCCTGTCCGAATATTAATTATTAAATCAGCATCAGGAAATAATAATGTAATTAAAACCTTGAGCTCTTTAGTCGGGCAAGCCTGAAACTGATACCAGAATATTTTAATGGAAGTAAAAGTTGCGGCCTCACCCATCGGGTATCGATTTAAAACCAAAAAACTAAAATACCAGTCACATAATAAAAAGGACCGAATACTTGAAGCTAAAAACCAATATGGCTCAATCTTTCTTTGCAGTATACAAAGTCGCATGCTGAAAGCGTCCCACAGAGCGCGAACCACGTAGCTCCAGGAACGATCGCCATGAACCTTCGTTGCAACAGCGCTTGTGAAGTGACTTTCGGATTCACTAGGCAAAAAAGATAGATTACTTTGCCATAAAGACCCTGCTGGCCTACTTATGTAAGGTAAAGAACATTACAATATATATATATATATATATATATATATATATATATATATATATATATATATATATATATATATATATATATAACTGAATTAGGCTTTTATAAACTGTCCTCTTCACCCCAGTTGCTACAGAGTGATTGCATTGAATATCCTTAATTCTGTAAAATAAGGCGTTTGCTTGGGCTGTTCTACATTCAAATTCTTAAATACATAGAAGTACAAATAATAAAACTCACTCGGATATAGCAAGAAACACATTCGAAGGGACGGCCTTCAGGTCTGAGTTGTTGCACATCAGTTCGGCCAGCGTCGTTCTCCTTATGGCAGCAAGTTGAGCTGAAACACAGGACCTCATTATTGTAACCTCATGAATCACAAATGCGTCTGTGTGCATCTACTCGTGTGTGTATGTGTACGTCTGTGTGTTAGGGAGGAGGGTGTGCGCGACCGCACGAGTGTGTACGCTCGTCTCTCTCTCTCTCTCTCCCCCTCTCTCTCTCTTTCTCTCTGTCCGTGTATGTGTGTGTGTGCGCGCGTGTCCATGTGTGCGTGTGTGTGTTTGTGTATGTGTATGTAAGTGTGTGTGTGAAGAAAGTCTTAGTCTTAGTCGTCGTTTCAACTTCATTGCAATCAGGTCACTGTATAAATCTTAGATATCAACAGCATGGTGAGAGATTTTAATTTTTTAAAATATTAATTTAATAGAGCTCTTAAGTCAACCGAATAAAAAAAATTTTTTAAACCAAGGAAATATAATGAGGAGTAAAGACTTCCAGCTTGACGTTAGATATTCTATAGCTAGTAGCGTATGGAATAGCTTACACAAAATGAGTCAAGAACTGCATATCTAACTCAATAAGGAGCATGTTTTGTTTTTGTTATAGGTTTTTTTTTTTAAATCATAGATATGGTTTTTGAGAGGCGCATACAATAAAATAAACTATAAGGAGACACAAAGAAGAAGCGGTGAAAATTTTTAAAAAATATGTCTTGGTACATAATATGCACACACTAACTTTTAGAGGCAGTATATGAGAGGATGCAAGTTTGTGACAAATTCAACAGGCAACTGTCAAAAGTAGTAGCGAGATAGAGGCTTGATCCAAAAAAAAAAAAAAAGAAATAAGAGCACAGAAAAAAATTAAGACTCCGAGCACTTTGAAGATAAACCAAGAGAAACCAGGCACAAGATGTTGATACAATGTCTCGTAATCCCATTTGCGTCTCATAAGCCACTATATGGAAGATTGGATGAGGGGGGAAAAAAAGGGTGGGGGGGATTGAAGGGGGCGTCGGTGACAGTTGATCTGGCCGACGCTCAACGCTCAGCAGAAAGACGAGACGAATACACGGTCAGACTGCCAATGGTACCATTAAAACTGGAACTCACGCTTCATGCTGAAGATGGGACGGGGAGCTTATGGAAGTTATGTCTCATTCTTAATTTAACATGCTTCTATTTCTCTTCACTGAGGATTTCTTAGCTCTCAGGACAAGGCAACAGATCATTTGCTATATCCGCCAGCTCACACAAAACTAACCTGTTTTGAATCTCATTCTTCTTTTCTTTTCGCTCTGTGTATTTACTCTAGCTGTATTCATATAACCACCGTGGTTCCAGCTATGGTTCCAGTAAAATGACACATATGCCCTCGCCTGCGGATCGCTAGGTCGTGTTTCAGACCCTGACATAGCCACACATTTTGTTTTAAATTACCTTGGCTTCCAGGTCCACCCAGTCTTGAGTGGATACCACTTACAGTCCTGGAAAGTAAAGGCAGCCGGCGTGATGAATACCACATCATACCCAAATGTGGATGTGTCTATAAAATTTATTTCTAGCCCTACATACCCAGTATACCTGGTGGCGCTGAAAGGCGTCCGTTGCTTTGCTTTATTTGTTATCATGTTTTTTTTGCTTTCTTCATCATTATTTTACAAGCGTTTTTAATGCCTTCTAATAACATTTTATTTTCTTGCCATTTTTTTTTTAATTTTCAGAATCTCCAGAACCTTTGTATTTTGAAACAAAGTCAAGCCAACTTGCCATCATTGAATCTAGAATTCGGCTCATTGTTGTCGAAGAAATGTCGATCACCCTCCTTCAGCCGTTTAAACTGAATTCCCAACAAACAGCGTATAGTAGGGCCGACAATACCGATCGTTGGGCGTTCATGCAACATCCCGGTGAACAGGTCAATGTCATTCGTTGAGCTAACAGACAGAAAAGAATAGATAATTATACTCCAGCTTACTAGCATAGATTTATCTGGAATTCATTACTTACACAAAACCGAATGAAACAAACAAACAAAAAATATTTTACAATGAAACTTCCCATTAGCACATTCCAGACACTAAAAGTACCTCTTATAGGGTATGTTCTATTCTAGAGCTTATCTCCACATAACTTTTAAACGGGACAATTACTATTGTTTCGGAGCACTGACGGGACAAACGGGAGACACCTAAAAACGAGACTACCCCGCTGAAACGAGACCAAGGGTCACCCAACATGGACGAGAAGCACCCGATTTAATATCAAGAAGCACTTCTATTACATAGAATAGTCAATTTAAAGATATTCACCTGAAAACAAGACCACATAAAAACGAGACTACCCCGCTGAAATCGAGACCTATGGTCACCCAACATGGACACCCGATTTCAATTCAAGAAGCCCTTCTATCATAGAGAATAGTCAGTTTGAAGATATTCAACAGAAACACATAAGAATTTATAAAGCTATATCACTAAGAAGGATACCCAAATAAAGATCGCAATAATAAACAAAAGCTTATTTAAGCTGGTTGACTACGATCAAGTGTTTTTTGCTGTGCCATTAACATTTGATAATTTTGAAAAGCTTCTGAGTAATACAAATGACAATAAGTGAACAAAATTATGCGTGGTGACTACAAAAGCTGAACACATGCTGCTACTTAAAAATAATCTAGCTGAGTTAGGATGTTTTGGACTATACGTGCACTACTCTATTACGGCCGAGCACAGAAGAAGAAGAAGAAGAAGAAGAAGAAGAAGAAGAAGAAGAAGAAGAAGAAGAAGAAGAAGAAGAAGAAGAAGAAGAAGAAGAAGAAGAAGAAGAAGAGAAGAAGAAGAAGAAGAAGAAGAAGAAGAAGAAGAAGAAGAAGAAGAAGAAGAAGAAGAAGAAGAAGAAGAAGAAGAAGAAGAAGAAGAAGAAGAAGAAGAAGAAGAAGAAGAAGAAGAAGAAGAAGAAGAAATGAGGTGATAAAAGAAGCTGTCTTCGAAGAAATAGTACTAAATTACATAAACAGACAGTAAACTTATACGTCCAAAAAAGCAGTAATCTCTCGATTGCATATCAAACACACCATTGATTCTTCTCCTCCAAACTCCTTAACACTAAATATTCTTTTCTAACCTGATTACATTCATTTAAAAATTACCGTAGCTCCCAGGTCGAACATACCTAAAGTTGATAAATTAAAGTAAAGCGAAGGCAGCCGGCGTAATACTGACAACATCACTCCCCGCCCCGCCCACGGGCCGCCATTCCCCAACCAGTGACAATTGGTATATAACAAAATAAGTCTAGCATCGTATACTTAATATTGATTAGGGCGAGGAAGAGGGTGCTTGTTTAATAGTAATGTACCCCCGTGTGGGTTCCGGGGCCCTACTATGGGAAAAACAAGAATAGACCCACTGCCTACCTAAACGCATCTCGTAAGAGTCAACTAATTGGGAGCTTCCTTCGTAGTCGGAGTGCATCTGCCTGAGAGGCAAGGAACCAACAGTCTGCATACAGATCTGTCAAATGGATGCACACGCAACCCTCAGGTTCTGGAACAGGACTGCAGTCCAGAAGTGGACGAACAACCAGAACTTTCCGCCGGAGTTTACAGCCTGTGAATGTGAAGAAGAAGAATAGTAACGTAGAAGCAGTTGCAAAACTATTAACATATATATCATTTTTTTAACTAAATGTGAGTTATAGTGCAGGCTTAGACCGTACTTGTATATCTTTCCAAGCTCTCCGACATCAGGACCTAGTGCTTCCACATCATCGAATCCTGTCAGAGGGCGAAGACCGCAGAATGCTCGCCATTTGTTGTAAGGCTGGACGCCATGATCTCGTCCACGTTGAATGTTGATGGACATCAGATCAAGTCCCTTTCCAGTTTTATTGTTGAAAAACAGGAATTTCGATACGTCGTCAACTGGTGACGAAATTTGAAATACAATTTTATAAAATAATTATTACGACGAACGAATTAATGTACGAACGAACGAAAGAAATAACTTTATTTTCAATAAGGGTTAATAATTGGGCATTCAGGCCCATAACATTCCACCCTTTTAGTCTACTGGTTGCATACAGTTAATCATTTGCACATCATTTTATAGTTAATAATAGAAAAGCAACTGTTCACATCAAAGTCTTAATTACAACGCTGCAATGTGCACTCATTACACTATCATTACTGAACTTTTCAAGTAGTATAGTAATAAACCAAGCATCCTGGGAACGTTTCGGTGAGTCACTAGCAGCAAAATGAGAAAACAGCCAGCAGAACATTTTTAAAAGTAGTTAAAAATATGCGGAAAAGAGAGAAGAGCTACAACCCCACTGAAATAATAAATGATAAGACAGGAAGGCCATTGATAGATCCACCTGAGATAGCAGAAAGATGGAGGGAATACTTCAATGAGCTCTTTAATCCTCTAGGAGATCATCAGGAAAAAACAACTGAAGAGCACAGAGCAACAGTGTTAGAACCACACATACTAATGGATGAAATAGAAAAAGTCATTAAACAGTCTCCCAAATATAAAGCACCAGGAGCTGATAGATTACCAACAGAAATAATTCAAGCAGCAGGTGAAAGCAGCATCAGATGGCTTCACAGAAGATTTAATGCAGCATGGGTACAACAAACGGCCCCTATTGATTGGCAACATGCAATAGTTATACCATTGTGGAAGAACAAAGGAAGCAAACGAGAATTCGGTCAATATCGAGGCATCTCTCTTTTAAGCCATGTTAACAAAATGTATGCCAAGATAATAGAAACAAGACTGTGACCAGTGATAGAACCACAGCTGGCAGAAGATGGGATTTAGAAGAAATAGAAGCTGTACAGATGCAATCTTCACACTTAAACAGTTAATAGAAAAGAACATTGAATACAATAAGAACTTATTTGTGGCATTCGTAGACCAGGAGAATGCATTGACAGAGTCGACAGACAAATATTATAGAAAATAATGGCAAGATATGGAGTTAGCGAACACCTCATCGAAGTGTGCAAAAGTTTATACAGTGATTGTAGAAGTGTAGTTAGAATAAATCAGGGAACATCTCATCCTTTCACAGTGACATCTGGAGTAAGACAGGGGTGTGTCTTATCGCCATTGCTGTTTATTACCTACATCGACAGTATATGCAAGAATGCCAAGCCCATGAATGAAGATCTTAGTAAGATCAACCAATTACTCTTTGCAGATGACCAGGCCTTGATAGCAGATGCAGCCATGAAATTGCAACAACATCTAACATCCATGAATGAAGAATGTAAAACAAATAATATGAGAATCAACACTGAAAAGACAGAAGTAATGTCAAAAGGAAAAAAGAAGACAGATCTAAACATAGAATACAAAGGCATTAAACAGGCATCTGAGTTTAAATATCTGGGAACTACATTTACCGAAGATGGGAAATTGGATTAAGAAATTGACATTAGATGCAGTAAAGCAAACCAAGTATTGGGACAGCTAGCCCCCCTCTTACAGCATAAGACAATACCAATCAGCACAAAGAGACATCTTATTCAAAGCATATTTATTCCAACTCTGTGCTACCAGTGCCAGACATGGTCACTCACAACAAACCATAAAAGAAAATTAGTAACCACGGAAATGAGATGTCTGAGAAGGGCTGTAGGAGTGACCATAAGAGATAAGATCAGGAATGAGATCATAAGAGAACAAGTCGGCACAGAACCAATTCTAAATTACATACAAAGACAGGAAGTGAAATCGTTTGCCCACTTAGAGAAATTGCCTTGTGACACCATACCATACTAAGCATACATGGAAAGAGAAGAAGGACGTAGAGCACGGAGTAGACCAAGAACAAGATGGAAGGATAACATCAGAGAAACTCTACAACAGCACGATGTGCCTATGGTCGAGGCAGCCAGAAGAGCTAGAAACAGAGCTTATATCTCCCTCGACACCCACAGCGGTAAAAGAGGAAGTGAAGAAAAAGAAGAAGATAGTAATAAACCTAATTGAGTAATGTTATAATTCTAATAAGTTACCTGATATAGACATCACTGACAACAATATAAGGTATAAGATGCAATAACTTACTGATAAGTCACTAACAATTTGGGATCTCTGCATTTGAGTGGTTAAGCTGTTTACCTGGCCAAGACCGTCTCTAGCTGACGGGCCATGCTGCTGACGTCACGAAACCGGGCTAACGATACCTTAACGGGGCGTTTCTCAAATTTTCAATCGGGTAAAAAATTCCATCATTAAAGCGGTTTGAATACTAAAAAAGAAGAAAAAAAAAAAAAAAACTGCACATTTATTGTCAAAGCAGATTTGGAAAAAAAAATGTTGATTTTTGCTGCGGCACCCCTGACATACGTAGGCGGCACCCCAGGGTGCCGCAGCACCAAGTTTGAGAATCGCTGCGTTAACGTATCGTTAGCCCGGTTTGGTGACGTCAGCAGCAATTCAGTCAGCTGGAGCCGTTCTTGACTGGCTCTCTCGAAGGTCTTGTATTTACGATTTGTGCTGCTAGTTTGAATAGTAAAATTTTTATTGGGATTCCCTTGGAATCGTCACTGTAGCTACAGGTTTGGTGTCGTGGGCGACACTTTTTCGCAAAGTCGTGAGCAAAACAGTTTTGCTGTTTCTCTTAAAGAGACCGAACCATGAGATAAAAATTTGTCTGCAGGAAAGTCGATGGTATTGGTTTTTAACAACTATTTGGTTATCCCCTGAATAACGGTCCCAATTGATCGAAGCCGAAAATATACCCTAACAGGGCCTCAGTCGCATGTAAACCGCGAACTTCCGGCGACTATGCCGCCACCGCCGAGAGCGGAGCGGGGCTAAACTAGATGGCTAGGACTCAAGAGCAAATAAAATGAAGGCAGCTGCAGGAGATGCAGTAGCCCCAGCCATCTAGTTTAGCCCCGTTCCGCTACGCCCGG